TTTTCTATGTATATTAGTTGGCCAATTAATTTTTTTTTTTTTTTTTTTTGAGACAGAGTCTCGCTTTGTTGCCCAGGCTAGAGTGAGTGCCGTGGCGTCAGCCTAGCTCACAGCAACCTCAAACTCCTGGGCTCAAGCGATCCTTCTGTCTCAGCTCCAAGTAGGTGGGACTACAGGCATGTGCCACCATGCCCGGCTAATTTTTTCTATATATATCAGTTGGCCAATTAATTTCTTTCTATTTATAGTAGAGACAAGGTCTTGCTCTTGCTCAGGCTGGTTTCGAACTCCTGACCTCAAGCAATCCGAGCCCGCCTTGGCCTCCCAGAGTGCTAGGGATTACAGGTGTGAGCCACCGTGCCCGGCCTAAGGCTTGTATTTTTGGTCTCTGTTTCTTTGTTATTTATTTATTTATTTGACACAGGGTCTTACTGTCACCTGGGCTGGAGTGCATGCAGTGGTGTAATCATAGCTTACTGCAACCTACAACTCCTGGGCTCAAGAGATCTTCCTGCCTCAGCCTCCCCAGTAGCTGGGACTATAGGCATGAACCACCATGCCCAGCTAATTTTTAAATTTTTTGTAGAGACAGGATCTCGCTATGTTGCTCAGGCTGGTCTTGAACTGTTGTTCTCAAGGAATCCTCCCACCTTGGCCTCCCAAAGTTGGGATTACAGGCATGAGCCACCGTGCCTAGCCTTTTTCTTTCTTTTCTTTCTTTTTTTTTTTTGAGACAGAGTCTCACTCTGTTGCCCAGGCTAGAGTGAGTGCCGTGGCATCAGCCTAGCTCACAGCAACCTCAAACTCCTGGCTCAAGCAATCCTCCTGCCTCAGCCTCCCGAGTAGCTGGGACTACAGGCATTCGCCACCATGCCCGGCTAATTTTTTGGTATATATTAGTTGGCCAATTGATTTCTTTCTATTTATAGTAGAGACGGGGTCTCGCTGTTGCTCAGGCTGGTTTGGAACTCCTGACCTCGAGCAATCCGCCCGCCTCGGCCTCCCAGAGAGCTAGGATTACAGGCGTGAGCCACCACGCCCGGCCCTTTTTCTTTTTTTATACCTCTTACTATCATCATTCCCCCTTCCTGTGGGTCTGGACAGGGGGGTAAATAATTCCACAGAATGCTTGCTTCCATTTGACTCAAAAATTTAAAAACCTAGTTATATGCTTTATTATAAAGCAATCTGGTTTCTGGGTCTATAGTAACACCCTGGGGCAATGTGGGCAGCATTGGATGTGCGCAGAAATTCCCAGGGAAGGCTCTTCATCTCTCTGTTTGCTCTTCTGAAATCTCTCTAGAGAACACAGCCGGATTCCATTGCCATTGCAGCTGCTACAAGGCCCCATATGCAGTGCTTCAGTGGTCTCAGGTGCCTTGCTAGATCCCAGCCTTAAGGCCCCAGACAGAGAAATCTGATAAAAGTTGTCCTTTAATGGAATCTTGAACATGGAACTGAGCCTGTGCAGGCCTGTAAAATAACTTGGGTGGGGGGGGGGTGACAGGGATCAGGAAAGCCTCCCATTTTCTACACATTGCTTTAGCATTTCTTTCCTGGTAGTTTCCTGCAGTTTAATCTACTGAAAATGAAATCCTAAAAATCAAGGGCCCCCATGTGGTCAACATGGATGCTCAGAAATCCCACCAGATACCAACCTTGAAGCCATATTTTACAGGACTAATATTTTTGTGGTCTGGCTGAAAACCTTGAGAGCACTGGTTTTCCCTCATGGGGAGAAAAGTGCTAGCCACGTAGCAAATGCTAATCATCCTATGATTAATGTGGTGTAGTGAGTTTAATTTGATGACCTATACATTATTTTGATTAGGATAAAACATTTTTTTTTTATTGACTTGGTATGTGTTACAAGTACTTTTCTCTCTTCTGAGAAGCCCATCTAAATTATACTCTGGAAGGGAGATCTCACTGACATGGCTTTCCCCAGAGGGACAGCGAGGGCGTGTATGGGCCCTGTCCCAAAAAGAAGGATTAGCAGCACCGTCAATGCTAAATATCCTCCACAAAGCACATTTACCTGTTACAGTGAAACGAAGGTTGGAGGCCCAAGTCATTAGACTATTGATGGGTATGCAATGTTAGCACAATCCAACATTACCGTCGGCTGTCCCTCCACCCAGCACCTGGCCTCGCAGTAAAAACGGGCCTGAGCAGAAGGTGTGCTCCACATTCCATCTGCTCAGGATTTTCAATTTCACCTGTCTATATACGTAGCTGGAAATACCCAACTGGACCATCTTGGGTCCGGTTGGTGAGGGCGGGGACCTAACCATCCCCCAACTCTTTAAGGAGGTAATGCTTCCTATTTAAACAACCAAATTAATAACAGCCAGCATTTACTGAGTGCTCACTGTATGCCAGGGCTCTGTGCTAAGTGCTTACATATATCAGCTCTAGACTCCTCACCACATCCCTCTAAGACGGCTACTATTGTTGTCCCCAATTTACAGGCAGGACCATCAGAAAAAGAGGGGGCAGGGAACTTGCTCAAGGTCTCACCACTAGCAGATGGCAGAGCAGAGCCATCCTGACTTAGAGCCAGAACTTGTACCTGTATTGCTGTGCTGTCTCTCACATGGTGCTGCTTGGTAGGCTGTCTTGTGAGATAGTGGCAGGGAGCAGACAGTGTTAGGCCCCCTCATATTCCCTCTCAGTTCCTCCAGAACTGGTGGTGTGGCTCATGCAAAACTCAAACAGCAATTTCAGAATCAACAGCTGAGTGGAGCGGACAGGAAGCTGGGTGATGGAGACTTGTGGCTGAAATATTCATACCATAATTAAATGCCAATATATCCCACCTCCAGTGCTGTCTCTAAGAACTGTGATGGATAGAGGCTTTTGGGAAAGAACCTGTTGGCTGGGTACAGTGTTGTCCTTTGGAAACTTGCAGGCAAATTAGCTACTGTTTCCCTAATCTGTAGAATGAGACATGGTGCAGCCTTCCTCACTTCTGACAGACTGTTGCTCTGGGCAGGGGTAAGTGGCTTCTTTAAGAAGGCACACAATCTCCATGCCCTTGGGTCTACTCCAACATACAAGTTGGTGGGAACTTTGGAGGAATGCCCTGATACCCTTGGCTGTGCTGCAGTGGCCAAGGGTAGGAGTTTAGGAGGCAGGAGAAAGATGGTTGTAAAGAAGCCAATCACACATTCACTGACCACACCTGGGATAAGGCGACTCCCAAATTCATCTTATTTTTTGAGGTCTTTCCCCATTTATTCTCCTTTGCTTTGTGTCTCTGATCATCAGCCCCCTTCTCCCTGGCTCCTTTGGAAACTGAACATGGTACATAAAAAGGTCTTTTCTTTCCCCCTCAGAAGGCTGAGTGTTTCAGTGAGGTTTTCCCAGAGCACTCTTCCACAGTTGTAACCCAAAGTGCAGAGTCACCCGGATATTTCCCTAAGCTGAGGAAGGAGTGAGCAGAATGTGAGCTCACTAGAAGATTCCGGCCAAGTTGGGGAGTGCATCTCCTTTTAGGGAGTGTTGTGAATTAGATCCATTTCTGCACCCTGCTGTTGCAATGGAGCAGACTGTGAAAGGGAAGATTCTCAGAGGAGCTGTGTTTTAATGTAGCAATTTGATTCAATTTTCCACTCTATAAAATTACCCATCACTGCTCGTTGCTTTCTAACAGACACCTTCACTCTTAATTTAACAATCCTATCGAATTCTGCCAGGGAAATTGGAAAAATTTATCACCTGTGAAATTTTATTTTCCTTTGGTTGTATCTGTTTTTGTAAAACTTCATTAACGACGATGACTTGCTGAGGAAATTATCATTTTTTTTTTAACGTCAGACACAAGAAATGGCTCGACCTCAACCAGGATATCATTTGCATAATAAAACACAACAAAAAGGCTAGGGAAGTCGGACTGGCAGAGGCTGGAAGTGCTAGGAGAAGAAGCAGGCTCTCCTTGCTGGGTGTGTGGGTGAGGTCCCCAGCAGGGAGGGGATGTGTGGCCAGAGTCCTGCTCCTTGACTCAGGAGGCAATGACGTTGTTTCTCCCCCAGGGAGGAGATGAATGCAGTGTTGTGAGGGTTGGACCCTCTTCTTAGGAAGCCTTGAAATGCACGTTGCTTACTGAGTGTGCTTTTAGCAACCAGCCCTATCTTCAGGAACTTGAGTGTTAGATTCACCTTAGTTCCTAGGTTCATCTGGGATTAAGGTATAAATTGCTATAAATTTAGTCTTAACTTGAATTTCTCAGCAGAGCACCGAACTCCTGGCAAATTTCCATAGGAACGATCTTTCTGAATGGACTTGAAGATTTAGCATTCCTGTGGTCTAACTACTTCACGATTAAAAGGCTCAGGCTTGGGTTTTCCATCCTCTGGCCCCCACTGTGCTCTGCACTGTTCACCAGCTGCTATCATCCCCACCAGAAGTGGCTATGTGGCAGCAGTGATGACTGTACATGTTTTGAGATGCTAGTTATCAGCCTTTGGAAAAAAGGAAGTATATAAAGTAGGCCTGCTGTAATGATGGGCAGATGCAATATGTTAGGCTTATTTTTAAGAGATGTGATTTGATTCGTGGTATATCTGAAATAGTTGTGCTCTATCAAGGTTTTACCAGATGACTATTATAAAAAGGTTTGTCAGCGTTTATGTTTCAGATTTTTTAAATCCGTCATAATTGTGACGCAACTTTCCATTATTCTCACAATTACACAGTAAAAAAGTTGAAACTAGAGAGTTTTGATAACTCACCCCAAAGCTCACAATAAATCAATGAAAACCAACCTGAGTATTCTTGACTCTTTAACCCTGTTGACACATGTACTAAGTTACTGTACATGGTCATGTGTGAGACACTCTCTGAACAAACTCATCTTGTTCCCAGAGCAAAGCAGAGCCTCTATACTGGCTTCCCTACATTCTCTCCTTCAGAGGATGAAGGTTTCAAAGTTATATTCCTCCACCAGGTCTAGGGTTTCTGAACCTAGTGGAAGATAATTAGAAGACAACATTTCTCACCTGGTAACACTTCATAAATTTCTTCTTCATTCTCCTCTGTAGGCTCTTTTATCCCTACATTCCCAGGCAAGATAATGGGTCTGCACTGGGAACCAGAATTTGCAGAGTCAAAACCATCAATATCATCATACATCTCTTCTTCTCGTTCTTCTTCTTCTTCTTCCTCCTCTTCCTCCTCCTCTTCACATGGAATGGTTAAGGAGCTCAGATCTGCCAGGGTAAAGATGAGAATGAATCAAGATATGGAGGAAAAGAGAAGAATAAGGCCGAGAAGGAAAGAGGGAGAAGGAGGAGGGGGGACTGAGAATAAAACATGTCAAAAGAAAATGAAACACTAGGTTAAGTGCTGTTATTTCTAATGTGGGCCTTGGTGGCAGGAAATCTACAGAAAAGGCCAGTATCAGGGTCAGTTTTAGCACTGCATCAGGCTTAAACCATCAACATAAATCCTTCCTTGCAATAAAACTTGATCAGGATGAAGCATCCCTGAAAAGTATGGGTGTGTGAATGAGAACACGAGACAAAAGGAAGAAAATAGGCCAAAGAGGAAAAGCCAGCATGCCATGCACTGCTCATCAGGTAGAAAACTGGAAGGATGAGTGAAGGCCTGCAGTTCCCCAGGGTGCACAGAGCCATGGGAACTATGGTGGCTTCTATAGAGTGTCTGAGCTGTCAAAAGCTCGTCTCCCCAATGATCTCTGCAGAATTTCAGACAAGTTTGTTTGCAGAGAGAAAAATGGGCAAAAGTGGAAAAGAAATGGGGTATGGAAAAATACAACAGTAATACAGGAGCAAATGGAATGGCTGAACAATGAAGTTACTGTGTCCTTTTGCAACTGTACAGTCTGGCTGACCTTAAAGTGGGTCACCGCATAGAGGATGTGGAGCCATTACAGCAATGGGGAGCGCCAGGGCAGAGAAGGAGATTGGTTTTTTATTTTAATGAGGAACTGGGAAGGTTCATTTTCGGATGTGTAGTACAGAGTGCTCTCTGAAACCCTGCTGAGGGGCCTCTGCAGGATGGGCGAGTGCAGTCAGCATACTCTGGGGAAGGAAAGGATGGAGACACATCCAACGTTCATTTCAAAACACAATAAAACTGTTTGGTTTGATTAGGCTTTTAATAAAGATTCTGCAACAATTTTCATCTGAATTCTGGTGCCACCACATATGAGGAAAGGATCAAAGACACATTTGTGGCTTAAACCATATGTTATTATTTTGTTTGTTTTAAAATAAAATGAAATGAATAATTTCTTCAATGTGGGATTCTGAAAGTACCACAGGGTACAGCTCAATAAAGCTGCTTTGAGTTTTATTGAGGTTTACACACTTAGGGGTATATTACACGCATAAATCCAAGGCACCTAGATAAGAGTGTACCCTGTAGTCTCGCCATCAATGTTCATGTTTGCCTAGTTCCAGTCTATTATACGTGACGCTGTTGGTAGATGCAATAGTTTGTTTTTGTGATAGCAAAGGCATAACTGAATAAAACAGGCAATTCTTGTAATTAAAGCTCTGCTGCTTCATTCTTTTTATCCACAATAAAATCTTGCAGCAGAATAAAAAACTGAGATGAAAAGGCTTGATGCTCTTCTTCTTACATCTTGGGCCGTGTATAGAGTTGATGCTTCTGCCCTTCTGTAGAGGCAGGGTCCTACCCTGCTATGGTATATGAGGGTTATCTGATCCCAAGTGACACACTCAGGGTGGCTACTTCTACCTGCCAGGCCACTCCCAGACAGGACTTCCTTCCGGGGCCACTGTTCCTGTTTTGCCTGCAGGCTGGCCAGCAGAGGGTACTCTAGGAGCAGTCATTTAATGTCTTCAGGCAGGACTCTTGCCATCCCAAAGCAAGGAGTATTTTACTGTGGCTTGGAAAATAGTAATTGGTTTTTAAGGTCCAATGTCCCTGAAGACCACCTAGATTAGTTTAGATCTCTACTTCCTCCTAAGACTAAAACAAGAAGATTTTGAACCTCAATCGCAACTAGATGACTTTAGATTGGATATCATGAATTTCCTTTCCAGAATATAGGGGGTTAGGAGACACTGAATTGAGCTTAGCTGATTTCTAGAATCTTCTTTTCTAGCGATTATGAATATTACAGACTTGCCTGTAGGTAGGTGGATGAGCTATGATATCAGAGGTCATCCCCAAGTTGATGACATCTTTACCTTTTGATATATATGTGGGACTATTTGATGTTATAATATGGGGGCTATGGCAGGGAAGGTAGAGATGAGAAAGGGCAGAAAAAGTACATTCTGAAGCCTGTAGATTACATTTATGCAACATAACTTAAACTGCAAATCCACTTGAGATTTATTTCTGCAAATACGACACTTACCCTTTAACAAGAAACTTATTTGATCCACCCAGTCTCTGGCCTCAGCTGGGCTAGTAGCTGTAAACTAGAGAAAAATTAGTGAATTAATTTATCACCTTCATTAACATTTCAATGAATCCTGATAAGGAGGTTCAAGGGGAGGAACCTGCGAGTTTCAGAGTCAAGTTTAAAGCTCAGGATTCTCTGCCTGCTTAACATTTAGAAAAAAGATCAAATAGTTCACTCAAATGGATTTTTTCCTTCAGCACTTTTGCATACCCAGAAATGACAATCCTTTGAGTCCAGACGTTCACATCCATGTGCATTCATTCATTTGATTATCTAGTCCTTCATCAGGCATTTATTTGAGGGAGGTTTACGGGATGGGGGGGAAGCAAAACAACATAGGCACATGAAATGGGAGCCCTACCAAAGAGGTGCATTTGATAATAACTGGATGTTGGGAGGAGACAGGGAGTACTTATCGCTGCCTAGAGTAGGTCAGGGAGGCTTGTGGAAGTAACACTATTTTGACTGGAGTTTAGAAAAGAGTTGGTGGAAACTGGTAGAGGGAGTTGGATATTTCAGGTAGGGAGAACCATGTGCAAAAGAACAGGAATGAGGACATCATGTATGGGGAAGGCAGGCAGACCAGCCTGACTGGAGAACAATACCACACGGAGTTGGAGAGTTGAGGATTAGAACAGAGTCGATAAAAGGGCTGTGAGTACCAGGAGTTCAGAATTAAAATATAGGCAATAGAAAGCCACTATCAATTCTAGCAAAGGGAGTGGGGGATTCTTTCAACAGTGGTGAGTAGGAAGGACTCGAATAGGGAAATTGGGAGACAGAAGACCAATTAGAAGGCTGTTTAACTAGTCCTCTGGGTGAAGTGATAGGGTCTTAACTCTTGTGATGGCTGTGGGAATAAATAAGAAGGGAAAGATCCAAAGGATACTGTAGAGGAAGAATCACAGACCATGGTAATGATTTGGATTCAATGGGCCAAAGAAAAGAAGAAGTAAATAAAATACATTCTGATTCACAAAACAAGCCAGTCAAGCATTAGCCCTTAGTAATTTTTTAAAAATTTTAAATGAATCAACTTGAAATAACTGTTCCTGAAAAATATTTTAATTATTTAGTCATTAGAGTAAGATAAAGATATATGCTAGATAAGGAAACTAGATTCCTGCATGATACTTATTAATAGACATTATTATTCTTGGTTCCTTAAAAACAAATTTCTATAAAGACATTTCTAGGAATATTGGTTTAGACTTGTTATATAAACTTTTATCTGGATATGGTACTATCAGAATTTAATAATAAAAATAAGTAGGGACATATTCAGTGCATACATTTGTATTATATATGTTTATAAAGGACTCTATAGAAAAGTTTTAGTTTAAATTAAAAAATTCTAGAAATTGTATAAGGAAGATCTAAGTTATTTCATCAAAATAAGTGTTATAGTACTGTAGACATATAAAAGATGAATGCTGAGAAAAATTTGAAGAGTCAAAGGGCTATTTAAGAGGTTATTTAATTTTAGCATGGTTTTTCTCTTTTTTATAAGTCAGCTAACATTTTTCTAAATTGCTTTAGTAAAATTGTGATAAGATAAAAATTAACAAGCAGGAAATAATATATAAACACACACACAAACATATATTTTATCTTGTCCTGACCAGGTCCTCTAGTCCCCCAGTTATTATTGTTACTACTTAGGAACCATTGTTGCCAATATCTTAGAAAGCAAAGCATAGCTTTGGAAGGTTATTTTGCATAGCAAGATGACCATAAGAAAATAAATTATATTTTACTCTACAGTTAGATTTTCCTTTTTCTAGATTTCGTGGAAGGAAGTGAAGATAAAATAAAGAAGAATTAAATCCATAAAATTAGAGACTATAAGTAAGGAACTGGATTGTATGTTAACATAGACAAGAATCTCACCTATGGAGTGAGACGGAGAAGGGGAGGGATGACGAGATGGAAGCCAAGAAAAGGCAGTATCTAGGATGAAAGTGGCAACAGAGAGAAGGGAGGGCATGACATAACAAAGGTAAGGACATGTCAAGAAAGAATGTCTTAGTTGGTAAGAAATGAGCAGGTAACAAAGAAAGGCTGGAACCCAGCATAGCAACCAAGGCTCACATGCAAAACAGAAGGAAACTGCAACACCAGTGAAGATCACCATCTCCTCGGTTCATCCTACCTCATAGCTGCGCCTATCCTGGGAGGTCAGTTCAAAGCAGGATTCTTTCTTGGAATCTCTTCGCAGGTGGGGGGCCATCCGTACACTGTATCCCTTAATGAGGAAGGTCCCTTTGGGCTGCTTGCCTGCAAGACAGGAAACCTCCCTGTATCCCTAGAGAGATGCAACTGCCAAGGGAAGGCATCTTCTCTGGTATGTAAAATAAAAGCACAGAAACAGCTGTTACATCCCTGAGGAACCACAATAGTCAAGGAAAGGTTATTAGGGAAGCTTAAGAAGAGGCTACTGCAACAGCGAGGCAGATATCACTGCCAAGCTAGGGAAATGCAACATGAAAGGTTATTTTGCCAAAAGAGTACAACAGAGACAGAGAATTTATTAGAATGTTAAGAGATCTATAATAACAGAGAGAAGGAATTATTACAGTAGGGAGAGTGTGGCTGTAAACGTGAGGCTCTTGAAGGCTATTATAGAGCTGAAACATTATTATCAGGGCCAGCAGAGCCCACATTCGAGGGGAGGGACAAGGGGGGGTGGCAGGCTGGCAGGGGGAATTATAAGGTCCTGGAATCATCTCCCATGCCCTATGTAGCATTTGGGCTAAACTGCTCGCCCCCTCCCCTGCAGGTCAGGTGGGAATTTATGCTAGAGGGAGAATAATTAAAACTCAGTACTTTATTCCCCTTCCAAGAGGTCAAATTGGGAAGTAGCAGCGTACTATTGAGTATTATTAGATGATGAGGAAAGAGATAAAAGGAAAAGGACTCCACATGAAGAAAAGGAGAGACTATTCTGCCTGTTACTCCTTTTAAAAAATAAAATATTGGAAATAGGAAAAGAGCATGTGGCTTTCAAGGATTTTGTGCCCTCATTGTGTGGTTCAGGGAGAACACACAGGTAACAGGAACTACAGTGTCTGGGTGATGCTTTGTGCCCTTATCATGTGAAATGATGGCTTAATAAATACTTTTTGATGATCACGATGATGATAAGGATGACAGTGGGATGGCAGTATTAACAAAAAAAGAAAGAAAAGAATAAAAAGGATTCTGTCCTTACCTGGTTGAGCTACAATAAACACACAAACACTGTACTTACTAAGAAAATGTCCTGGGCATAATAAGAAATAACTGGTGAGAAGGGAGCCATGCAACAGTGCTTTTTGACACCAGAATCTTTTTTGTTAAAGTATCTTTCCTTGTTCTAACTGGCCACTAAAATGTTTTGTTGTTTCTTTGGTCACCAGATTTTATTTCACCCTGATGGCAAAATGGTCAATAAAAGTCTCTGTGTCTCTTGCTCTCGTGCTCCCCCTTCTCTCTCACCGTGAGTATAAAGGATTCTGAATGAACAGAATGATACCTGGTTTTATGTCTAGATATGCCAACTCCTTTTTTAAGTGCAAAGGAAATTATGAACATTTTTACAATGACACAAATGTCATATTAGTTTGAAGGCTTAAAATAAGCAAATAACACCTGGCTGGCTTGTATGCTTAGATTCAGAAGACAAATTGTGGTTGCTGGATTTGAGAGTGGGATCTGGGTCAGAAGGACACAGGAGACTTGTTGCTCAGTTTTTTTTTTTTCAAGACAGAGTCTCGCTCTGTTGCCCGGGCTAGAGTGCCTTAGCATCAGTCTTGCTCACAGCAACCTCAAACTCCTGGGCTCAAGCAATCCTCTTGCCTCAGCCTCCCTAGTAGCTGGGACTGCAGTCATGCGCCACCATGCCCAGCTAATTTTTTCTGTATATTTTTAGTTGTCCAGCCAATCTCTTTCTATTTTTAGTGGAGATGGGGTCTTGCTCTTGCTCAGGCTGGTTTCGAACTCCTGACCTTGAGCGATCCTCCCGCCTCGGCTTCCCAGAGTGCTAGGATTACAGGCGTGAGACACCCGCCAGGCCTTGTTGCTCAGTTTTTGAACTATGTTGCTATCATTTCCAAGTAGGGTGTGGGGCGCGGTGTCAACGCCATTACAAGATGGCGCCTGTTTCCGGCTTTGCCTAGAGCAGTAAACAAGTTCAGCGCACGAGCAATTGTCGGTTACCCTGTGGCGCAAGCATGCAAATGAAGGATCCTACTATGGACCAATGCTTTGGCGGCTCAACAGCTGAGCGGCCTATCCCAGCTTAGGGGGTGTGCTTCTAGGGTATATAGCAGCCTGCGCGCTGCCGGGCTGGGTCTTCCGCATCATGTAAGTCTAAAGGGAACCCCATTAAAGCACTGTCAGAAGAACTCCAGTTGCCGCGTCTTCCTTGCTGGCGAGGCGGGCGCAACAGTAGGGTTTCACACTTTGCCCCTAGATAAGAAAGGTTCTGAGGAATTCGAGATGGTGAATGGAAGATGAAGGTCTGTGATGACTGCTGTAGGCAGAGGCAGAGAGGCAGGGTTGGGCAATTGCCACAAAGCCCAAGGCAAATCTTCAGGATTTTAAGTCACTTAGCAAATTGCAGTTCTTTCTGTTCCCTTAGTGCCAAAGGTGCAGGAAGCCCAAAAGTAACTGCATGGGTGTCTGATTATCCCCTAAACTGGATATCCAGGCTTTGGGAGAGGACTAAGTTTGGGAAAGGAAGAAGGGAGGAGAAACAGAAAATAATTGAAAAGAAAAAGAAGGGTCTACTCAATCTGTATCACAGGCCTCTGTATGAAGGTGGCAGAGCACAAGGAAAGCCCACACAAGAACTGATGCTTTATTTACTTTGTCTTTGCCTCTTGCTTCCTAGAACTACTCCTTGGGCAGTCCAGTCCAACTCTGCAGAAGGGTATCCCCTTTTTCAAAGTCTACATTCATCTAGAACAATAATTTTTAGCTCAAAATTATTTGTAGTTGCCTCCAATTGAGCTTATATTCTCTATTCCTTCTCATGAACTAAGTGAGTGTGTTAAACATGGATGGGATAATGATGATGATGATAAGGATCTTCTAGGGATAGCTCATGAGTGTTGACCAGATTGAGTGAGTGGTAGCTCATTAACAAACTGTCTCTGGCCTGAGTCAACACCGTGCCCCTGCTGCCATCTGGCTGAAGAGTGTCTCTCGGGCACAGCAACCATGTGTGCCTCAGAACTCCATGGCTCTAGGAATGTCCACTGTACTACTTCCCAGTAGTCAGTAGGATAAAGTTTGGAGCAGGCTCTTAGAGAGTCTGAACTCTAGGGTTCTATTTCTGGGCCACTGTTAAGCTGTTTAAATCTTTCTCAGAATTAATTTTTTTTCAATATTTTAGCTATGTTACTAATGTTTAAAAAGCGTTTGAAGTTCTTGTTTTTAAAATACAAAGTGCCTAGGCCGGGCGTGGTGGCTCACGCCTGTAATCCTAACATTCTGGGAGGCCGAGGCAGGCAGATAGCTCACGGTCAGGAGTTTGAAACCAGCCTGAGCAAGAGTGAGACCCCATCTCTACTAAAAATAGAAAGAAACTAATTGGGCAACTAAATATATATATATAAATTAGTTGGGCATGGTGGCGCATGCCTATAACCCCAGCTACTCAGGAGGCTGAGGCAGGAGGATCGCTTGAGCCCAGAAGTTTGAGGTTGCTGTGAGCTAGGCCGATACCACGGCACTCTAGCCCAGGCAACAGAGTGACACTCTGTCTCAAAAAAAAAAAAAAAAAAAAAAAAAAGAAAAAGAAAAAGAAAGAAAAAAAAAGTGCCAAAACATTCAACTTTGACAATGTTGTGTGATTGGTCATAATAAAAGATAACCCTCTGATATATTGACCATACTATCTTAGTGTTTAAAGAGGAAATAATTTCTAAATTGGCCCCTGCATTTTTGGTGATGGGCAAGGTATTATTTACCCAAGCCTATTTCTTTCCTAAGCATGTCCCTTTATGGGTGTTAGTTAAGGACTGCTATCTTGAGATCTAAGTGCTTGAGAATTTACGAAGTGTTTGCATCCAGGAGTGAGATGCTGCTGTGCAAATGAAGAACACTTACTCTTCTCATTAGCATAGTAGTAGAAGAGGCTTCTGCTGACAACACACCATCGCTTCTGCCACTCTGATCCAAAGAAACTATGATCTAAACAGAACAGCAGTAGGAGACATAAATTCAGGTAACTACAATCACTGAAGAGTCCGTAAAATCCAACAACACACAGTTCAGCGTGTTATTGTTTTATTTCCCAGTTTAATGGACTGTAAAACCCTCCTTTTTACTCCCACAGGTTATCCCATATTGACTCTGGGTCCAGTGGACTAGCTCAGTTAAAGGTCCAAGTTTTAAACAGGGTTGCCTGCTCTGTGCCCTCATGGCTGTCTTTCTATCTAGCATCCTATACTTCTCAAATTCCCCATGATATCTTTATGTGTTGCCTTTGACAAACCAGAATGATTTTCCAGGCCACGGGCGTGAGAAAGGCTTTTTCTGTGCTAAGCCAATTTGCCTGTTGATTGTCAAACCTGAGACTCCAACCCTATTCGTATCTACTCTAATTGAATGAGTTAAAGGCCAAGAGTTGGGCTTGTCTGAAATTTGAAAGTAGGCTGTTTCCCAAAACTACACTCTTGGCAAAACAGTTTTACTTCTTATGGGAACACACTGAGAGATGAGGACAAGAACATCATTCATTCATTCATTTGCCAAGTTTTATTATGCACCTGTTGTGTACCAGGCACTGGGGACACAGTGCTGAGCAAGGCAGAATTAATCCCTAGCCTGATGAAGCTCACAGTCTGCTAAGGATTTGGACCATTTCTCTTCAGCTAATACACAAAAGCCAGACTTCTTTTCTTTCCTTGCTTTGCTTTTGCTTAATAGTATTGGGCACAGAGAAGGCATCTGACATGATAGCCCTCTTTTTTCTCATTTCCCTTCCCTTCCTGGAATGTTCTGCGATCTGTGGGTTTGATCAATACCTTTGCTTTTCTTCTCCAAGTATCCCTGTTTGATGATGTTATCAAGCTCTTGAGCTCCTCTTAGGATGTCTTCTGTTCCTAAAAGGAACAACAATAAAATGCTTTGTTGAAACTTGAAAAATTTTGATTTATTTTGGCAACTTCAGACAATCCATGTTAATGACAGAGGTACAGAAGGGCAATTGCTTAAACACAGTGCAAAATAAAACAATTTCTATGTTGTTGGGGGAAAAAGTTAATTTTCTTTCTTCCTAATTATATCAAATGCTAAAATCACTTAGAATTATCTAAACATACATTAGTTTGTAGCAAGGGGAGGTAGCCTAAATATGTACTGATTGGCATGAAAAGGACTCCAGGGAATTAAGAATTTGCTGTGGATATAAGTTCCAAATTGGATAATTCACATTGAGATAATCAAAAGTCAAATGAATAGCTACCAGCACAGACAGCTTTAATGAGTGACAGTCTCCACCATAAACATAGTCACCTCACAGGGAGCAATAAACACACACTCAATTTTTTTAGAAAAAAACAAACAGAAAGCCACCTTTGTGAATATAAACTTTATTAAGTTCACACCAAGAAGGACTATATAAGCTGAACTTGGCAATAACTACTAAATCCTGGTTTTTTCAAAATATGGGAAAGAGTCCTTGTAGAATCCTTAACAAAGAGAAGACCCTGGAACTGACATTAGCCTTTAATTGTATGCTGCTAACATTCTTAGCTTTCAATTAGCCTCGTTAGGTACAAATTTATCGAGAAGTCAAGATCCTAATCCATCTTCCTCCACTGGGGTTTAACTTACTTTACAGAAGGGAGGGGCAAAGGATAGAGATGAAAAAGATAGAGTTTACTCCTCAAAAAATAAAATGAAAGAAAGAAAAATGAAAAAACAAAAAACTCCTCCAAGAACACACTCTACATTTCCTCATTAGGCGAAATGAAGAGCTAGCAGAATCTTAATATTTCTTCTTTTTAGTCCCCAAACTCAAATCTCTTTTGACTGTCTTTAAAAATTTACAAAGCAAACCAAATACAAAAATAAGGCACCACCACATCTGAATCAACTGAGTCACTTATACAGTATCTTGAGACTTTTGGGTGAAATATTTTTTTTTCCAAACAAATGTTCTTTGAACATTTCCTATAATAACGTTTATTTAGTGTTGGCTACAAACTGGCGTTTTGCTCAGTGCTTTACCTACTTTTCACTTAAAAATACCACTTTAAGACAATGTAAAATTCAATTAAAATTACTTTTTGATTCTAAGCTGTTTCAAGCTTAGATTTAAAAACACAGATTAGAAAGGCCTCTCTTTTTCTTTTTTAATGTGTCTATGTGCCTCATTCTTTATCCAATTGGTCCTTCTTATCAACTTCCTTGTCCATGGACTATTTTCACTCGTGTGTTTTACAGTTAGCAAACTCTGTGTTTGCCATAAATCCTTCCAGGGTGCGTGCATGAGATGAACAGTAGCAAAGGAAAGTTCATTTTTCTAGGATTCTTTCATTTTTTCCCTACCCCTCTGAAAATTCTTTTATTCCTCTGAAAAACTCTCCAAGAACACAGTAGCAGATTCTACTGAAGGGGGACTGTTGGGTGGGGTGAGGACCAGGTATGGTAGAGAAGGCCCTCTGAAGGATAGCCAATTCTCTCTGAAATGCTGTAAAAAAGTTGTTCCTGAAGGCCTAAAAATTAAATGAAAGACACAGGGGATAAGGAAAACAGGATCCCCCAAACTTGGAGTTCCCATCTCTTCATCCTACAGTTTTTTTTTCCCTTTTCTTTTTGAAGGTCTTGTTAAACTTAGAGACACAGCTTCTTGTTAAAGATGCCAAGAGTCTGAATCATAAAAGACATGTTAAATGTTCTATTAGAATTCAAACCTCCTTTTTTAATGCAAATCTAAATGCCATTTTATGGAACATCTATAATTATGAAAATGGGAAGACATTGCCTCTTGTGTGCGGGGGAGAGTCTGTGAGTATGAATATTACATTAATGTGCCCACACCAGCTCACTGATCCTGCTGGCAGGAGCATAAAAAATGCTTGAGTGAAACTTTTATTTAGATGTTAAGACTCCAGGCCCCAGCGGGGTGACAGAGACAGCCCGGGTGAGTTGCCATCAGAGAGAGAGCTTGAATTGAATTACCCAGGGGGGAGGAAGTAGTGATGAGCACTGCTTCGCTTATTTAATTTCATTTACTTTCAGTACATTATCAGCATGAGGCTTTTCTCTCCCCACCAACTGAAACCCAAGAATGCTACCACCAAGAAAACAAAGACATAATACAGCAGGGATGTTTGAACTCAAAGTCACTAATTCTAGGAGACAAGGGACAGCACCATCACCACCTTCTCTCCCTGAGAGTCAAACTCAGTTTGCTAAAATTGGGCACCTGAATGAGTTGCTGAATTTTCTCTCTTGGTCATTCACTAACACGATTCCGAAGAGAGTAGTATAGCTAGAAATATGGTTTTTTTATGTGCTGTGTTTTCATACATGGTCAGATGCTTATGTTGCTTTCTTACTTGTTAGAGAGGATCTGTATTGATCAACTCTCTTGCCTGGTTTCCCTTAAGGCAGTGGGAAAAAAATAGGATTATAGGTAAAGTTTGGAATGACTATGGAAAAAAATCATGAAATCAAATCAAATCAGTCCCTATTCTATTGTCTTCTATGTACAGGCATTTTGTAGTGAGTACAGTAACAGAGTTGTTCTCAATGTAGAGCTGACTTTGAGCACAATCTCATTAGCTCCATGATCTATCAGACAGATCCAGACAATCAAGATGGGAAGCCACTGTGGCACTCAAGCTGTCTCCTCTTTCAGTGTCAGCTCAGGGTCCTAATGATCAAGAACTGGTGATCCTGAGGATGCATAACTTAGTCATGCCATGGGGTGATGAGGCAGGAGGAGTCTTATATGCCTCAATCCATACCCACTGGCAAATGAACATATCTGCAGAAAGCTACTTAATGCATAATAGAAAGTATGTAAATGCTTTACAGGATGATAATTAAAAAAGTACAAAGTCACAATCGTATAAGTTGCCATTTTAAGGCAAAAACATTTATATTTAAGTATATGATTAAAAAAAACAGAAGCTTTTGGTCCATTGCCTGAAAAAAGATATCACCACTGTAATGAAAAAATAGAAATGATTTCAATTTATTGAGAATAAATGGCCCTCTTGGATAAACCTAAGGGTGTATTACATTATATCAGCACAAAACAGAATTACATTAGTGTCATAATCTCTCTCTACCACTACACTTAACTAACTCTCTCAGGATAGCCCATAGAAAGAAAAGGTCACTTAGCTGAAGGATGTAGGGCCATAAAGATAAGATCAACAGAGAAATGTGCTACCCAGAAGTGATGGCCGCCCAACTTTCTTGCCAGATGAAGATAAAAGGAATTCTCAGACATCCTTCTCTCTTCATCCAGATTCCTTTAAACCCTGTATCTCACCCATACCCAACTCTGCAATAAAAAACGACAGGGTAGGATTCCATCTCTCAACGCTAAACATGACTCTTCAGTCAGCTATGCACAGCAACAACAATGGGGGCCCTTTGGAGTGTGATACATTTCCATAAAGCAGTCAATAAAAAAGACACGGGAGCTTATGTGAGTCACGGCCTATTTAACCAGCTGTGTTCTAGCCCACTGAGAAAAGAGAATTGGAGAAATCAGTTGGCAACACCACAGCACAAGGCTAATAGCACAGGAGGCCACACAATTTCCACTGCAACAGGGCTGCAGCCCCTGCAGAACGAGCCAGGTGCCCACTAACTTTCATTACAAGCAGCTAGCTTGGTCTCTTGCTAAATCAACCTGAAAAGAAAATCAATGATTTTTTAAAAAACATCTTTTGTTCAACTCTTTTCCTCTTGGAAATTATGAACTTCTTCCATCCTTCCACTTTCCTGTTAATTCGAGTTCTTTTCAACTGTTTAAAAAAGGGGCCAAAACAGTTTGAACCTAGAGACTGATAGCTACCAAGGCTGAGTTACAAGCAGGGGAAAGTTTAGCAAGTTCCTTCATTAAAGTACCCATGAAAAGACCCTGGGGATTTGAGTGAATGAGTTCGGAGAAAATTTAATATCTGAAGGCTGGAAATGGTCAAGTTCCAACTGTAATTCCGATTCACTCACAGGGGGCTGGTGTGTGTGCATCTGCAGATGTGCACACAAACACGTACCCCCAAATGCTTCCAATGCACAGAGGTGAAGATGGCGTTGCAGGGTAGGGTGGCCTGGGGTAGTTGTCTGGTGGTCGCTGATCTCAAATCTGTTCATCAAACTCTTTCCTCTGCATTTGGTTTCTGCGGCCTTCCTTAATAATTTCATTACTGCTTTTATTTAGATCCTTGCTTTTCTGGGTTACTTTTTTGCCTTTTTCTCAATTTTCAGGAACCAGGGAATAAATGATAGTTTGTAATGTCTGGCAAGAAGTGTTCATCTTCTGATGCTAACAGGGAAGATGGTTTCAATGATCTTCCTCTATTAGTCCCTTGGGATAGGCTTATATAATTCTTTAAACTTTTATGGTTCTATTTGATATCCACCTGAGTTTACACTTATTCCACACCCTTTTCTGTCATTGTGCTTCACTTATTAAGGAATTTAGACCAATACATGTAAGGTGAAGACTTCTAAACCGTTACTAGTAATAGACTTAGGATCTAAAAGTTTCAAAGATATAGAAACCACTGAAACAAATGTCTTTAAACTAACTGAATGGAACTGTTCATGGAGAAATAAACCCAACACCAGATGAAAGGAAGGGAGTGAACACAACGTACTTAATCAAGTTCTTCCACAAGCTGTGACGTAAGAAGCTAGGAAACAAAACAAGTGCCACTGGGGCTAGACTAAAGGACATCAGAAAATGTAGAAATGACACATTTGTAGTTAGCAAACCAACACAGAAGACAACATTCAGGAGACCTCAATGGACTCAGGCTGCCTTTCCAAATTTTTAAAGTCTTTTACAAAAAACCATTGAATTCAGGTTACAGACCAAAGAGTAAAAGTCTGTGGAAGAACCCTGTTATACTGA